TGGTCAAATTTCAGTTTGCTGGCCACTGTTTGGATTCCAGGACCAGAAGAGTCGAAAGCAAGGACTACGTTTGCTGAGACAGGGGCCCCGGAGGGGATTCAGTGCATGATCCGTCTGACTAGGGTTCTTTTTTTCCCTTTTCCCTTAAACCTAGCTCTTTAGTATTTTCTCTTCTCCTCCTACTACAAAGCAAAATCTAATACTTGGTTTTGTAATTGCCCTCAAAGACCATGATTTCAGAAGACAAAGGCCAATAGGTGCTTGGTCTTTAAAGACAAAACAAAATACAACACAAGAAAAGATGAGTGGCAAATCTTCCCCTCAAGTCGTATAATCAGAGTACAACCCTATTTTAAACTGAAGGTTGCTGGCTTCCTAAACTCCTGCTGTAAACATCTTCTCAAGGAGGAAGACAAACAAGACAGTTGACCAGGAGTAGAATTTAGGCAGAGAGATGGGTTTTCCTGATGATTCTATTTTGACATGACCTTAAGAATTAATGTTTTCGATTACAATAGGACCACCAAGGCCTGACTTCCTTCATGTTCCATGGGCATTGCAGTTTTCACTTGAGGTCCTTGGACATGCAAATAAAATTAAGCAGCTTTAGATGGTGATTAAATGGAACTTTCTTATAATTTTATAACATGCTGTGATCTAGACTTCGTAGTCCAGACTTTGGTCACACCCCTCAAAGCTGATGGCTTTGCTAACAAATGTACATTGTGCTGTAGGTGGGCATAAAAAGCTCAGTCTAAACCTTCTCCTGAGGTTTGGGGCTTAGCTTCAGGTGCTCAGGAAGGGCATGTGTCCACGGAGGGCAGGCTGGGCGAATCCACATTATTTGTTTATCAAACACCTAAATAATGTTATGTGCAAGGCACATAACTATGTGTTATAATAATCCATGAGGCAGACACAGGTTTCCTCATGAGAATCCCACATGCATTTGCCCAAGGTCACATAGCTACAGGATATGGACCCAGGAAACTTGGTTCCTGAGTTCATGCACATGACTTTTGGGCTCTGTTGCCATAAGAAGGGCCTGCCTCCCATCAGCTGTCTCCCAATCCCCTCTGGCAAGCTCTGGACGTTTAATTCTTCTCTGCTATCTGAGTCAGCACATGGGGGTCAAAAAGAGCCCTAATAGTTAAAAGCAAGATGGTGCAGACCCAGGAGAGCTGTGATGGCCTGACCCCTTACCACCGCAAACGTAAGAAACTTAGGGCTCCTGTTTCCCAAGAACGCCAGCAACAGTTTTCCCAGGGCTATAATCATTTGTTCCATTCAATGTAATCTCTGCAAGGGATTTTACTGGGAAAGCAGCTGTGTGCTTTAAGAAGTGTGGGTAGTTATTTTGAGGACGATGTGTCTTGAGGATTTGACGCCCAGACAAATTTAAAAATAAGCAGGTTTCCAACATCTAAGGATGGGCCAATCTCTGAGGTTATTGAGTAAAAAGTCAACACCGTAAAGTCAATTACACTATTGACAGATACTCTTACAAGGAGATTTCACATCATAATTATATGCAAAGGAACCCAGCAAATAGAAGCTGTGTAATGATCAGCTAATAAAAGTAACACTTCATCTATGTCAATAACAGTTTCAGAGTTAAGACAAACAAACATGGCCTTTGCCACTCAGTGGAGGAAAAAAAAAATCCCCGAAAGACAAATATTTTCACTTAAGGAGAAGTCACTTAGACTCACACAGAAAACCTGTCACACAAAGGAGAGTAGGAAATTGGTCTTTAGTGGGTGCTAATGACTCTCCCTACCCTCCCCAGGCCTCCGCTGAACAGAGGGGGGTGAAAACCCCTGTAAACACGTGAACACCCACGGGATCCCTGGGCACTGCCACGTGTTCTGGCAGACAATATTCGGTGTTGTTCTGTTCTCCACTAGACTGTTTTCCTTTTAACCTTGGCTGAGTTTAGGTTCAACTGACATGTGGCCAAATGAAAAAATTATTAAATTACAATGAATGTGAAAGAACAAGACAAATTTTTTCCCCCAAACATTTCTTAATGGGTTTTACACTGACACTGATTATGTAAATGACTACATAGCTATGTTTGTGTTCGTTCTTTCTGAAAGCATCTCAGTGCCTACTCTTTGCCCTACATAAAGACGGCAAAGATATTACGAGCACGCATCCCTAATCTCACAGAGCTCGCTACCCCCTCTCCATAATTTCCCTTAAAACTGAGGGGGCAGGTACAGAATTGGCATTTGGACAATTGACTGTGAATGCACCATGGTTTTCTTTACCGGTTATCTCTATTTATGCAAATGATAACTTGTCTAGTTTCTGCAAACTGGGGTTGCACATTTTACCAAAATGATTTTGCTCAAAACTCCTGTCACGTCCAGGAAGGTCACTCTTTAATTAGACCGTGCGTGCTTTTGGTCAGACATCAGGCAAGCCGTGCAATTACGAAGCCATTGTCACTCAGCCTCAAACCCAGCCTCGATACCCTTTCCTACGCTGGGGCGGGGGCTGGGCTGGGCTGTGTAAGCCACATTTTGCTTTACCACTTGGCTCCATGCTAGTCTCTGCCACCAGGAGGTGCCATAGAGAGACTGTGAGGGTGAAGCAGGGACTCGTTCCTGGCTGTTTCCTCTCCCTGTGCCACCGCAGCAATGCCTCTGCACCTCAGTGGCAGCAGCAGCATTCATTCCTGTAGTAGCTGCTGAATCCAGTTTGCAATTTTTCCGACACTTGCGGAACCACGTTGCCTTGGAGGCACCAGCACCACTGGGGCCTCCTCCCCAGAGGTCTGGACTTCAGCCTCTCACCCTCTGCAGAGGTCTGAGTTTCAACTCCACGGTGCAATCACTCCACCCTCTTCCCTTTGTCTCCTCTGCCCTCCAGGTGGTAGCTGCTTCCTGCAGTTGTTCCCTCCATGACACCCTGAGTTCTCTTTTCACCCTTTCGGTTACCTGCTTAATAACTTTCTACCTGCTTAACAGTGCTTTGCATTAAAGTCTCTCTGTTCAAATACCTGGTCTGGGTTCTGTCTCCTGACTGGACCTGACTGATGCACAAGTCTGGCCCAGAAACTGTTCTGTGGCCTTTCACTTTGGAGGGAGAACCACGGAGGGGCTCACGGGGTTGGGTGAGTGGCAACTCTTTAAACAGAAACACGACGTCATCATTTTGTTATAGTGTTTTGTTATCGTCTAACCAGATCATAACTAGAAAAAATCGTCAGTACTGAAAATAAGGTCTCTAGAGGGTACTAATCAGGACAATGTGCCATGATCTATGCCACGAGAGTAATAACAGCAATGAGGAGGCAGCCCCTGGTGAACGCCATCCCGTGGTCTGCCTGGCTCTTCTGTGCCCTTCCCCAAGGAATGGCGGGACCCCCAGTGAAAGCGACTCTTGAAGGCGCTGAAAGAATGGTGAAGACGAATTACTGATCTAAGGGTAACCAGGACAGACAGTGGGGAAGTGTAAGAAAAAGACCCCATGTATTTTTGGAAAGTATCCCCTTGTCAGGTTAGTAGAAACGCTATGAGGTTTTATAACCTATACCTGTTCTACTTCCTAACAACGTCCCTCCCTCCTTTTCACATCCTGCACACCAGGCCTGCCCTGAAGACTCAGTGACTTCCGTCCTGGCAAAAGTAGGTTGCTTTGCTGGAAGAGTTACAAGACACAAGCTCATGGAGAAGCTCCACATGGCAGTCCACACAGGGAAGTCTGATTCTGCAGCTCCCTCAGGCCCAGCTAAACAGATTTTTGGGGATGGTTTCTTTGGGACATGAAACACTATGACAGCAAGATGGCCTTCAGGAGCAGACCTGATCTAGACACACAGAGACAGAAAAGGGGTACCGTCGGGAAGGGAGGCAGCTCAGTGAGACAGGTCTTTTCTAAATGAGCGGCCCAGGCCCGGCACTGCATGATGGCTGATGAAGCATCAGCCCCCTTCCTCAGTGAGCAGACCACTGAGGACAGACGGGGACCTGCAGGGAAAGTGCTGTCATCCAGGGCCACGCATCAAAGGGCCACAAGTGAAGCCTGGGGCTGATGAGTTCACAGCAAAGAGAAATGTGTCTCACGCTGGCTCAGAGGCCACGTTCAGAAAAGCACTGGGAAGGAATCATCTTTGTGATGGGTCTTGAAGGACCTGCCGCCTTGCATGTGAAGGCAGAGGGAGCTGTATGAATATGCATTTGTATGCACGTATGAATTGGGGAGCCAACTTGGCGCGAGAAGGGAAGATCGGGGGAATGTCAGGGTGATGCAGTGGGAGTCACGGCAGGCACTTTTGCAGACGGCTGGAGAGGCACGTTTTGGGAAGCTGGCCTGGCGGTGGCCGATGGACAGGTGCAAGCAAGGGTGGAGAAACAGCCGGAGAATGGGAGGAGGCTCCAGCGACAGTGCACGTGAGGGTCCAAGCTAGCAGTGGACCCGGGTCTGGGGCTGGCAGTGGAGATGAGTGTGGAGGAAAGAAATGTCCCAAGGACGAGTTCATGTGGTTTGGCAACTGGCCTGATTCTCGGAAGCAGGGGAATGATGCCACCTGCTATTTATAGACCACTTACCAAAGCACGCTCTGCACGTGGTTTTGCACTTGATTTCACTGCAACCCCTCCTAGGAGGCACGGGAGTTTCACGGATGAGAGAGCTGAGCTCCAGAGAGGTCAGGCACCAGCCCAGAGTCACAGGATGGGGACGTGACCAGGCTGGGTCTAGAGCTAGACCCGTTAGCTTAGCATCCAATTAACAACCGGCCTGCCATTTCCTTCTACCCACGTTACCCTGCCTTCTTAGGAAAAAAACTTACTTTAACTTGTCCCTGTCCCCTCATCTGTAAAGAGACCAGGATAACTTAGTGACCCTAGAAGAAGCTGGCATTTGGACTGAGGGTTTTGGGATTACTTTAGCATTTCTGAACACCAGACCGCTAACTAGCCTGAGGTTGGAACTCTCCGTCCCTGGAAAGGGCTCCCTGGACAGATGCTGCCGTCCCGCGGCTCCCTTACCTCATGGCGGCCGTCATCCCGATGGGCGTGATGGGCAGCGGCCGCACGCCAGGAAACAGGCCTCGGCTCAGAACCCGCGCTCCGTTCTGTATCACTCCTGGAGGAACTGGAAAAGCAAAAAGGAAAAAGACACCATACATGAATGCAACTGTGCACATCTCTGTTCAAAGTCCGAAATCTTGGATATACCAGAGAGAGAAGAAGAGAGAGAGAGGGGGGAACACACACAGAGCACAGAAAGAAAGAAAAACATGTTCTCTTTCTCTCTCTCTCACACACACACACACACACACACACACACACACACACACACACATGGGGATAGAGTGACAGAAAAAGATGCCAAGAGAACAAGACAGACAGAAGGACAATTTGGTCAGCAAAGTCAGACCAATAGCTTATGACCAAATTACTGATGCCTAGGTTAAAAGAAAAGGTAAGTTTTAAAAAGTGGCTTCAAATATTATCTTCTTGCATTTATTAAATATAACCTTTTACTTTCGGCCAGACCCTAATGACATCTCAAAAACCCTGACTCCATAGGACAGACAGCAGGTGAGTAAACAGAAGCACTTTCCCGTGCTTCTCTGGCCATGGTCAGAAGCTGAGCACATCTTTCTACCTGTCCTTAACCCAACAAGGGAAACATATAGTCAAAAATAAGAGAAAGTCTATTTTATAAGCTACTTGGCACCTCAGCACTCACAACATAGTTCACCCTCACAATGATCTTTGTTACCTGGGGAATGCCCCCTCCTCAGGGTCACTGGGAGGGAAGGGTTGCTGCTCAAACTCTCACAGACCCCTCCTTCCCCAAAGCTTCCCCCAAGCAAATCTCCCAAGAGTTCTTTCTTCATCCCACCTTCTCCCAAGCACACTCATCCCTGGAGCAGCCCGAGCCGACCTTCTTGCCAGCAACCATAAGATGCTGTCCATTTTCCATGCAGATTCCAAGTAGCTTGACACCAACCTGACTTTGCCTGAGGATTTACATCACAGGAGAACCACAGGGAAACCCTGATATGCCACCTTTTTTTATCTCCTGAACAGCAATTTCATCTGGTTCAAACTAATATTCTGTCTCTTGCTGCACCTACCAACACCCCTCTATGTCTGTGGGGCCAGGTGAGCATCACAAAGTGAGAACACCGGCAGGTTTTCATCTTAGTTCTTCTTGTGTGACTTTGCGCAAGTCCCGAATCTCTGCTGCCCTCTCTGAAGAGTGTTCTTCCAAGACCCTTATGGTTCTAACACTCCCCTGAGCCCTGGCTGTGCCCGTGTAGCCCCTGGCGCAGTCTCATACAAAGGCCAGGTGGATAAATAGTGCTTTTTCAAACTAAGACCATTGGAAAAGCTCTAGAAAACTATTCATTCAATAATGAAAACCACTCTGGATATTAAGTTTCTAATTCTAAAGCCAATATTATTTGTATAGAATAAATATTTCTTATAAAACACATTGCCTACATGTGCTTTTTTGTTTTTTGGGGGGGGGACAGGGTCTCACTCTGTTGCCCAGGCTAGAGTATTGTGACGGCAGCCTAGCTCACTGCAACCTCAAACTCCTGGGCTCAGGTGATCCTCCTGCCTCAGCCTCCCAAGTAGCTGCGACTACAGGTACACACCCTCACGCCTGGCTAATTTTTTCTATTTTTAGTAGAGACGGGGTCTCACTCTTGCTCAGGCTGGTCTTGAACTCCTGAGCTCAAATGATCCTCTTGCCTTGGCCTCTCAGAGTGCTAGGATTACAGGTGTGAACAGCCACATCCTTTTTACTTAATTTTCAGGTCTCTAAGAACATGTTTTCAACCCTTTAATCAAAGGTCCTTCATGTACGGTGAATGTCTACTCTTGAATATGGGATAATTTTATAGACTATGGATTCCTCGGGCATTCTGTTCCTCCTGCTAATGATTTTGCCATTTTTCTTCTAGATTTGTGTAAGGCCTTTATGACTAGGTCTTACAAAAGGTGAGATGGGAGATAAAATTGAAACTTTTGCCTAAGTCAGTACTACTGGTGCAGTTCAGAGTTCTACAATCTCCCCAGTCTCTTACCGTAATTAATTGTGAGAGTAGGTGGAACTGTCCCTGCTTACCAGCCTGATTTTAGATCAGATTACCTGAGGCAGAAAACTTACCAAGTACCTTAAAAACATGGAACTGTTACAACAATGTGTTGTACAGCTAATTATCATATTGTGCTCAGTTAATGAGTTCTCTGTATGGAAGAATGTCTAAAATTTATATTACCTGATTTATATTATCTAATTTCAAGACTTCCTATAAAGTTACAGGAACCAAGACAGTGTGGTATTGGCATAAGTACAGACATACCAAATGATGGAACAAAACAGAATCCAGAAATAGACCTGCACATCCGTGGTCAACTGATTTTTGACAAAGGTACCAGGACAATGCGAAGGGGGAAAGGAGAGTGTTAGAACAACCGGAGATCCATTTGGAAAAAAATGAACCTTGACCCTTACCTCACACCATATGTGAAAATTAATTAGAAATGGATTATAGACCTAAAGGTAAGAACTAAGATTTGTAAAACCTCTAGAAGAAAATATAGGAGGAAAAATATCAAGTATCAATAATTCTCAAAAACAGACATATGCAAAAGACCAGCAGAACTCTGGAGTTTAGAGATAGGAGCGTCAGTCTATTATATGTATGTATGTTGCCTGAAAAGATGGGCTTTTTATTTGTCTGTTTTGGGGATCATGGGAGAGAGGGTTTCAATAATTTTGCTGTATGGAATTCTCTTAGAAATGGTCAGACAGCCACAGGTTCAGTTTAATTCTGATCTAATATATCTGCCACAGGGATCTCATGGAGAGCAGCAAATAAATCTGATACAATGAACAACACTGATAAATAAGTTCAATATTTAAAATCTGTACCACAGCTATAATACTTGTAGTAAAAATTATTATAGTCTCATATACAGATCGCATCAATTAATTAAAACTTTTAATCCTTGCTTATGTATTAGGTAATGGGGATATAAGAACTACAGTTAAGTGGGAGAGCTAGAGAATGAAGGGGGCTACAAAAATAGACTACGGTAAATGCTAGGACTGGGCTACAGGCAGAAAGGATGGGGACACCCGACCCAAACTAAGGCGTGCCAGGGAAGGCTTCCAGTAGGAAGAGCTATCTAAGTTGGAATTCAGAGGCAGGGGAATAGCACATACAAAGACCTGGAAGAAAAAAAAAAAAGAAAAAGAAAAGCACAGTGTGCACAAGGAACTAAAGTTATTTGGCTAAAGCATATAACCCGAGATGGGTGAGATTGGAAAAACCATTAGGGGGTTTTAAGCAGGCAACTGTCCTGTCCTACAGCAGCTGGGAGCCAAAGCCTGGTGTCAGACCAACCTGGGTCTGCGTCCTATCTCTGTCAATGACTGATAGTGTCCCCCTGAGCAAAAATGGGGGACAAAAATGACATTCACCTTGTAGGGTATTTGGAGGCTTAACTGCATTAGTAAAGGCACTAGTATTTAGAAAATGCATGTGAGTTATCAATATCATTGTCATCAACACGATCAACATCCAAAGAGTGACCCTGGGGCAGCCTGTGCTTTCTCTACTTCAGGTGAGCTGAAAACCTGCAAGAGCAGAATAAGACGAAACCCAGACCAGGACAGAGAACTCAGCCATCTTCTTAGTGACAGAGTTGCTCTTGTGGTGCTTCTATTCCCTTGGTGTATCATATCAGAGTCATCCCTTCAGCAAAAACACCCAAAACACCTACAATTCGACAAAGACTTGGAAGCCCTGGTGCAGGAGGAGAGCGAATGGAAGTCAGAGAGCACGCGTCCTTCCTAACTCCGGCACGGCCACTGTGCTGTTTGCCTACCGAGGAAGAAGAGCAGCCCTGAGGACAGAGTCCCACGGCAGAGTCCTCTGTCCAAACGCCCAGGACCCTGAAGCACCAGGGGCGTGACCAGCAGAAAGGGAAACAAGGAAAGGAAGCCGGTTCTCCCCAAGCACCCCCCAGAGACCACATTCTCTAGATGCTCCTTGTCTCATGGGACCTTGGGGAGGAAGTATATAGCACGGTGGATTAGCGCGTGAGCTCTCAGCAACATGGCCTCAGTTCAGTCCTGCCCCATCGCTGGCTCTGTGGCTTTGGCCTCATGCCTTCACCTTTCTGCACCTGTTTCCTCAGGGTAAGGCAGGCATACACAAGCCTCATAGGACTGTTGCCAGGATTACATAAGATAAGCTACATACACTGTTTGGCTCAGTGTCTGGCCCATTACGTAGGCTCGTCACCATCATCACCATCATGGTCATCGCCACACTTCTTCCAGCATCCCGTATCACCTCCCCAGCACCCCCTCGTCAATTATCTACAAGGCACCGGGCTTCATGGGGTCAGGACATGGGGAAATTCCTCCCGTCTATTATGCTTCGCACAGTTATCCCTAACTCTGCATTTACCCGTGAAAGTATCTTCCTGATTAATGAACCGTAGTCACTTCAAAGAGAATTTCTTGGACACAGCTATCCTGCAGCATTAGCAGGCTTTCCCTGAGCTATTTCCTGAACCTCACAAGACTTCTGGCACGGAAGCTCGGCTCTTCCTCTGAATCCTGCAGCCTGTTCTCAAATGAGCTGCAACTAAACGCTGCCTCTGCCAACCTTGGCATTTCTCAGTCCTCATCACTGGCAATACTCTCCGTGTTGAGATGGCGGATGTGTTCATATTTGCTCACCGGCTGCCAGAAGCCAGCTGTGACACTTCACTGTACCCCCATCTTTTCTCCTTTCTGTCCCCATCCCCAAGTGTCAGGAACATGGCTTCCAAAAAACGAGTCACAGCCAGTCTAAAATGGCTCTGTCTGAGAAAGGCATCCTGAGGTCCGCAGTTCACTACTTTTGAGATGACGGGACTGGGCAGGACACTAGCACATTCTTCAGCCCTTCTCTATGGGCACATCGACTGGTCCCCTTCGTTCTGCTCCCTCAAAGCATGCCGAGACACTTGAAGACCACCACGTTTACAGCCAATCCACCCTACCCGATATACTGAAATGCGCCTGGGCCCCAGCTAGTCACAGACATAAGAAAGTAGACATCTGAAAGCAACTTCCTGCTCGGATTTGTGGCTCTCACTAGAAAAGGCACAGGTCTAACTGTTCATTAGACCAGTTGAATATCAGGGGAGAAGACCCACGTCTGAGGCTCTCAGATTGCTGGGATAAGGTGCCAAGGACATCAGCGCCAGAGTTCCCAACACTTGCTGATCAACCACGTTCTCTCAAGGTAGAGAGTGACATTAAACTAGATTTCAACTAGCAAGAAAGCAACCCTCACACGTAAAACGAGAGCCAAATCAAGCCGTGCCACCTCGTTGTAGATGCTGTGATCTAAGTGTGATAATGTAATCCTGAGAACCGTTAAAAAAAAAGAAAAAAAAAAAGTCTCGGGTTTAAGACAAATTCTCCTCCATGCCACGCTGTCCCTCAGGCCTCCCCCGGCCGCCCTCCTCATGCTTAGCTTCCTTGATTTTTCACAACTTCTAAAATTAACCTCTGAGCCCCTACCGCTGCCGTTGGAGGGCGGCCCTGGCTAACTCTCTCCCAGGCCATAAGCCGAGCAGCAGGTGATTCCGATAATCCTTCCCTTTCCTAAAGGCGCCTTTCCACCTGCCCACTTGGAAGCATGCTGCCGAGGGGGCCGGCCTGGGAGGACACGGCCTACTTCCTGGTGGCCTTTCTTCTGAGCCTGGTGTGTCTGACATACACTCCAGCTCCAGGCAGAGGAGAAACGCCTGCCCCCACCCGACCTCCTCTCGTTCCATTTTGTTGTTCTGTTTATTATCTAGAGTTCGGCTCTGGGAACGTTCCAACCAGGGGTTATATAAGCCTTTGAAGATGAGTAATGATGATCTGGCTTCTCCTGACTTCCCACCAATTCCTCCATTGGGGTTAAAGATGACCCACGGGGCTTGTCAAAGGGGGAACTACAAAGCAGGTACATAAGGAGATAGCAGAAGCTGGAATTAGTCTATGCAGCCACTTTTTGGGGGAGGGGAGGGGAGGTGGATGGGTTTGACTAGAAGCATACTCCCCAATTCAGGAGGTAATGAGGCAGCCATGCCCTGCGCTGACTGTTCTGGAACTAGCATCCTAGAGAGTGTGTGAGACACGATGGTTCTCCTTGCGGAATTCTTCCCAAGCTGGCAAAGTCTGAAAAGGCTAATGTCACATGCACTGCAGGTGCTGCCAGGGATACAAAAATGTTGTAGCCTGAAGTATTTATTAGGTGCACACTGCTGCCTTCTTGAAAGGGAAGCGTCGGACTGAAGGGAGATGTGGAGGGACCCGTGGAGACTCCAGCACAAGGAAGACGGCGTGTGCTGGGCTCCCCTGGGGCAACGAGGACTCTCAGGAGACAAAGAGGCTTGCGTCGACCGGGGTCCTCACCAGCTTCTGAGCAGTGTCCTCTGGGCGGCCTGCTCAGCCTCAGACCCTGGACGGCGGCCAGCCTGCCAGCCCTGAGCTAGCTCCACAGATGCTGAGCAAGGGAAGAAGGAGAGGGAAAGATCTAAGTGGCTGCCATCTGGTGACCTGAAGTGGAGTGGCTACGAAGGGCGATGACAAAGGAAAAGCCTTTCGAAAAGCCTTTCAAGCCATCCAGGCCAGCCCGTAACTGCCGCAAGCAAACAGCGGCAGAGACACTAGGGTGGCGGCCCCCGTGCAAGCAGGGGCACCAGGCAGCCCGGGAGGTGAGAACAGAGGCTATGAATAGCACTGCACGAGGATGCTCTATAAACAGAGCCCGGCCACGGCACCAGCCGGAGGGAAACACAGGCAGGCCCTGCCCAGACAGGAAGGCTGTGCTCTCGGAAGCCACGCTCCCCACTCGTGGGCAGTGGCAGGACCCCCGAACCAGGAGAAGGCCCGAACAGAACCACACTGCACATGTGCATGCAAATACCACTATGCAGGCCACCCACACACCACCACTGAGGCTGGCTGGCTGTGGCCTTTAACCATTTTTTGCCCTGGAATCATGTCTTACTCTTCTTCCAGGCCTTGGGCAACACTGGCAGGGCAGGGGATGGTGGCTTCATCACTCCATGTTTGTAATGCTTCTCCCTTAAGAAGGCAAAATATCGCCTCAACTCCCAAGGCAAGAAACATTATGCAATGTAAGATGAAAATAAAGGCGTGGGGGGGGTGGGGAGGGGGGAGAGTGGAGCGAGGAAGAGCCAGCGGAGAGCAGCAGCCCGTGCTGGAGATACCTGCCTCTGGCTGTTTATTGGGAGGATGGGCCACCTGGCTTCCAGGTGCACAGAGCAGACACTCGATGCATCTTCATGCCCTTCCTACGGCATGCTCCAATCCCAAGGGGCTTTACGACCTGCTCATTGACTGTGCTTGCCCTTGACCTCCAGGGAATTGCATTAATACAAGGGCTAGGGGTCAAACAGGAAGGTGAATACAAACCTGGCGTCCCTACCCTCTGCCCAGTCTTTATATTTATTTCTCTGCTGCTCCTGCCCCCGAGTGTCTCCTTCTGTGACTTTTGTAGGCACCCTGGTTCTTTCCTTCCAGGGCCTTCAAGAAGGCTCTGGCTGAATTTCTCGCACAGCAGTAAGAGCCTTCTAAAAGTGATCCTACAGCTTCAAAACATGAACACTGAGTTCCTAAAACTCAAATTCAGTATTTCAACATAAAAAGGGCTCTGGATACCTTGGAAAAAGAATTACTTACAGTTTGAGTGTTACAGTGATGGTAGAGGGTAGAAGTTTATTTAGCCATGAGAGCATTAAAAACTAACTTGGCAACTAACCCGGAGTGACCCTTTTTCTTTTCTACCTGCAGTCAAGAATCCAGTAATAATGGACTTTCATGGAAGATGCTAAGGATCTCTCAATGATCAATCTCCTTGCCTTTTCCACAAACTCCACTTTCCCTCTGAACCCCAGTAACCAGTTCATCAGAAGTATTTTTTCTTAAACTAATGATCACTGTGTACAGTGGCTGGGTGCAAAGGAAGGTGCTCCAATCTTACGTGGCTCTGATGAAATCAGTCTCTTTCCACCATGATGAGTTATGCAACTTAATTTTAGAAATCCTTGTAACTTGATTACAACCTGGTCTGCACTTTCCCTGCCATACCATCTAGGAATGGAGGTTTTTAAAAAATATGTATATATTTCTCTGAAACTCAAAACATCATTTGAAAACCACATTCCAGGTTAACTACTAGTTGCAGAACTGCACCAGTTACCCCCTTGCTTAGCAGTGGTGTCTGCCTGTCAGAGGTGCGGGCAGCCTAACATTTTGAGCGCTGGCAATCTCAGGTTAGCGAAGAGAGAGAATGAGCATTCTGTGCCGTTAGGAGCCGGTAATGGAAGCTCCAGGCGGAGGAATAAATCTCCCTGAGAGTGTTCGGCTGCATCTCTTGAGTCTTTTAAAAAAGGAACAAAGAAGAAAGGATGGAGTCTAATTTCCCAAAGCTGTCAGGAAGGCTGGGACAAGCAGGGGTGGGGGAATGAAGGGTAGTGTGGACCTCCACATCAGTCCATTATTGACAAAAGACACGTGTCGCGGGTCTGAGCATGGATGCTTTCCTGCGGAAAATACGATCATCTCCAAAAGCGAGGAATTCCCATCGCTTAGGAGGCCACGCAGCCCTCGGAGAGCCAGAGCCCCAAACCAGCTGAAGGCCCAACCCCTAGTGGTGGTGGCATGTGCTGCTTCATGTCACCATCTCCAGACCACCAGTGTTTTTCCTCAATAAGAGGCTGTTAACACAGCAATGCCCTGACAGCAAGCTGAGAAGACCTAGGTGGACCTGCTCTATGTCTGCTCAACAGGGTCCTGGCTGGGTGTGGGATGTGGGCACAGGCACTAATCTCAAGTTGGGAGGAGGAAGGGACAGGTACCTTGGTTTAAAGTCTTTTCTCATCCCTTGGGAAGGAGACCTTTCTAATACCACAGTAGGCTAGCTCCAGATGTGAGGAAAAACATCAGGGGGTGGATAGAAGAAGTCCAAGTAAAGAAAAGAGCTGTCTCAAACCTGACATTGCCCACCGGCCAACAGAAGGTGAGGGTGGGAGCCCCGCCCCCTATCTATGGCAGCCTGGGGGGCCGGGTGGAGAAGACACAGGGGTACCACGGTTTCATCTCAAGGCTACTGCAGGCGCTGGCAGGCCTTCCTCCCTAGACTTCTCTTCCAAAATGGCAGCCTGGTATTAATGAGTTCCCAGAAGGGAAAAAAATTTCTAAAAATGGATACTGCTCATCCCCATTACAGTTCAGCTGGCCCCACATAGCCTCTTCTAGCAGAAACTATGAACTCACAGGAACAATTCCTGTAGGAGAAAAGGAGGTCTCTCCACTGGGACTCATTATAGGGCCTGCTTCCCTTCCCCCAAGTCTTAAGCCCTGAAATGATATTAGAACTTTCTCATCTTGGAAACACACCTATGCATTCATTCATACATATGCATGAATGTGTGTTGATATGCATATGCATGTAATCATGCACTTGTGTAGTTTTTAAAGTGATTCTAGAAGGGAAGTTCTACTTGAGCATTAGTTCTTCCTATGACCTGGTGTATAAATGAGAAGGTTAAGTTCACAAACTATGGTGCTGTAGGCTATAGAAATATCTACTCACAACCTGCTTGTATCTCAGGGGGAGTATTCAAAAGCATCATGGCACTGGCAGCATCAATGTCAGGATCTGGAAAAATCAACCAATAAATAACATTATTTACAACGGGGCTGGTGTGTGTGTGTGTGTTTTTCCCCCTGTAAGTTACAGCTTATGAATGCAACAGAGAAAAAAAAGAAATCCAGGAACCAGATGAGCTATCCCAAAGGTGACTTTCTTCCTATTGGGATTTGAGAGGAAGAAAAGGCATTCCAGAATGAGATTTGAGGGGCACGTTAGTGAGTTTTTCATCAGACAAGCATGGTCTCTTCTCGTTTTGTTAATTTCGTAATTTGCACTGTATGTTGCTGATAAGTTGCTGATCTCTGCACCCCTACAGCTTTTACCCTGGGGTGAGGAGCTGGAGAGTCGGTGACAATAGGAACTTCAGCCACAGGATTCTTTAATGAACTGGGGAAAGCTCACAGCGTCAAGAAGAGAAAGCACTAAATACACCTGCATCTAGTGAGATACAAACAAGACATTTGGTCATTTCCATTTGTCGGCAGAATGTAAACTGTGTTTTATGAAGTTCTATGCTTGCAACAGCGGTGGTGGCGGTGATGAATGTGTGTTTGTTTTTAAAAGCACTTAAAATATAAAGAAAAAAATTAAAGTTCTGATGTTGGGGGCACAATGTCTGCTTCCAAATCTATTATTGTTTTTAATATGGGCAGGAAAAAAAATACTCATCACTTCATTGCCGTAATTCTTAATAGGTTTCTGAATCCTTACTGATCCACCAGTTGACAGATGGCAGGTTATATAGAGACAGGGGAAAATATTATCCCTTTATAACTAAATTCATTTTCCTCTGAGAAACAGCAGCGCTGCTGCTATGGAAATGAAGGTCACCATGGCAACGGTAAACAACCCCCAAGAATGGTCACTGAATAGGCTGAAAAGAACATCTGCCCCAGCGCAGCGTCCCAGCTGCCCTGGGGCGAAATTCACTAATAGTGCGGTGATGCCGCGTGACAGAAGCTGCCGCCTGTGCCCTGTCCAAATAAATGAAGTGTGCAATTGAAGTCGACATCAAAATGCCTCCCCTTGTAGATTACTGCCTCTGTGTCCGCTAAACCCAGTGACTAATGATGGGGGAGGGGGGCGCGCACTTGTCAGTTTTTGTACAAATTACATACCAAAAAATTCAATTTACTACTAATGGCTCCATGGCACTTTATTTTGGGTATTATGCTAGAAAATTACTTCTTTACTGTTTAAAAAAGTACATTTTTCATACTTTATATGTGCAGTTTGATTCCAAGGGAGTAATGTGATGCAGTAAAAAGGCCCACAAGCGATTAATAATATGGATGATGCTGGTTCCAGAAGACAAGGTCTCGAAAAGGAAAAAAGTAAAAGAACTTGACTCCGCAGGTTTTTTTTCTACTTTTGCCTGCAGGAGGCCTGTTATTTACACTCCACAATGGAGTAAAAGTTTATTTTAATGAGTATATGTCTGAGAATCAGGTAAATTAACTTATTTGGCAACTCCTGGGGTGACATTCCTACAACGGTCATCATTCCCCACTGGTATGTTAGTATATATTAGTTGAATGATTAACTGAAAAACTGGAAGTTTTCCTCACTGCTCCTGGGGTTCGCCCTGCCCCTTGTTCTCCCCACAGGGCCCGTTGCCAGGAAGCAGGGACTCTTGGTCTCGGCATTGTAGCTGGCACCCCACAAGCCATGAGGGTCAGCAGTTCCCCAGAGGTGCTGTCGGGGACTCTGAGCCTTTCCTTCCTCCTCCTCCTTTTGCAAAGGGCCTTTTCCTTGCTCAGGGAGGCGCCAAGAAAACACACTATTTCTTCTTGCCAAGCATAGATTCTTTGCCAGCTCTGAGACTATGGGCACTATAGGTGGTTGGCCTGGCTAGATGGTCCCCACCTCTCCAGGTGACTCGTACCTAGAGTTTTTCTGAGTGACCAGGACGTTTGCCAGGGTCAGGACAAGAGGAAACACAGGTAAGAAGTCAGGAGTCTTTTCCTAGTTATTTTGCCATAAAAAAAGTAGTTCCATATTCTCAGGAGGAACGACTTCAGGGGGAAGGTGTAGAGGGCCACAGATAAAAAGAAGACACAATGAAAGAAAGAAAAAAGAAGGACGAGAAAGAGAACCTTACAGGAAGAGTATACCATCAACGCTCAAAAATCTAGAAGAACCTAAGTGGGGCAGCCCCCAGGTGCAGTTGGGGGGAATGCTTTGGCTCCACAGAACATCCAACCATGAACTTCACTCCCACCCAAGCTGAATAAACACATAAACTGTGAAACGAAACAAAGATGCTGAAGGACAAGTCCACCAGTCTTTCCTTCTAACCAGATTTGCCCTGCCTGCTGCCTCCACGGATAAAAATTCTGATGCTATCATGGAACTCGGGCTGGTCTCCAGGCATTTTGGGCAGGCGCAACATCCAGCCTTCTCATTATCTCGTTCAGAATGCGTTTCTGCAGCCCCACTCTCCATTCCGAGAGGATCAGTTCCTGAACAGGTAGGCCTACGGGCAGAATGGAGCAGAGAGCAAGGCTTGGGATTCTCCCCTCTTGACATCTTGGCAAGTGAACTGGCAAACACAAGAACTGCAAATGGTAGGAGAAAATGTAAAATGTAATTATGTGTTTATGCACACTGGCACACGACAGCGCCAGTCCTTCCCCAGGGGGATCGTGAGCGCCATCCTTTCAAAAACACACTTTATTGAAGGGTGATTTACATATGATAAAATGTGCCCATTTCCAGTGTAGAGTTTGATGAGTTCTGGCAAAGTTTACACCAGTGTTACCACTACCGTAATCAAGATAAACAGCACAACCAAGACACAGACTTCCATCACCCCAAAGTTTCCGCAAGTCCCTTTGCAGACACACCCCCAAACCCCACCCCAGGCTGGGCAACCACTGATTTGCTTTGTTATTCATCCATGATAGAGTATCAGCAGTTCATTCCTTATAGCTATTATTGCATAGTATTCCACTGAATGGATATACCATAATCTGTTTGTCCATTCACCTGTAGATCGGCATTTGGATTGCTTCCAGTTTTGGATATTATAAAAAAGCTGCATGAACTTTTGTACCAGTCTTTTGTGAAAATATGTTTTTAGTTTCTTGGGTAATGGCTGGTAAATATATGTTTAACTTTATAGAGAATTGCTAAACTGTTTCCCAAAGAGGGGGTACCATGTATGAGAGTTTCAGTTGCTTTGTATTTTTGCCAACACTTGAAATCATTAATCTTTTAAAATTTTAGCCATATAGTGGATGTGTAGTGATATTCATTGTAGTTTTCCTTTCTATTTCTCTAATGACAAATAATGTGAGCATCTTGTCATGTGCTTAATGGTCATTTGCATGTCTTATGTGAAAAGTCTGTTAAAGTCTTTTGCCCTTTTTTGGGGGGGTGGGGGCAAGGTCTTGCTCTATTGCCCAGTCTATAGTACAGTGGTGTAATCATTGCTTACTACAGCCTCAAACTCCTGTTTTGCCCATTTTTTAATTGGGTGGTTCAATTTCTTATTAATTCAGCTCCAAGTTTTCTTTAAATATTCTGAATATAAGTTCTGTGTAAGATGTATTTTTTCTCAGTCCAGGGCTTACATATCCGGTTTCTTGATAGTAACTTTGAATAAGTAGAAATCTTTAATTTTTATGAGGTCCAATTTACCAATTTGTTCTTGTATAGCTGAATGTCTTTTGTGTCCTAAGAAATCTCAGCCTCTCCCAAAGTTGCAAAGATTTTCTCCTAAGTGACATTGTTTTCAGTTTTCATTTATTAGTGTACTATAATGTTTTCTGGGTTCAATACCCAGATTTATATGTAAATGAAAATCGAAGTAATTAACCAGACTTCTTTCCTCATCCAGTAAGCTGTTTAGGCACAGACCTTCTAGAACTGTACAGATCAGTACCAGTAGGACCCTCGTTGGCTCCTGGTGTGAACACCAGGCAGCCGAAGAGGAGCCTTAGTCAGGCATGTTTCCATGGAGAAATGTCCTGCTTGTCACACTCTGACACCTTGTGTGTGCTTCAGTCTTCAGAGCCAATAACCTCCCATCTCTCGTCTCCAAAGAGATGCTACATTTATACTTAAGATGCTATTCTTATCTATTATTAAAATGCCTAAGTTTTTCCTCCTTTTTAAAAATCATGAAAGTAATGTGTACTCGCTATAAAAAAATACATGAGGTGGATATAATTTAAGAAATAAATGCCTTCCCCACAGATCCACTCCTAGACTCATATTTTCTTGTATATGTCTAGAAATTGTCAAAATAAGCACTTATATATATTCATTGAAATATCAACACATATATTTACTCATGCACATGTATCTATTTTTAAACAAAGGGTGTATGTGAAAAATAGCTTTCTGCAACTTTTAAAAAATTTTTTCTCTTAGTAACCTAAGAGGTCCTCTTAGTAACCTAAAAGGTCGGTGACCTTTCATATTAGTATACATTATCTAAAGTTTTTCTATGGTGAATTATTGGGGCATAAAAACACACCACACCATTTGTACATACACTCCATTTTCTACCAGAAGGCAGAAAGAAAGCATTTGAGCTGATTATGTAACCTGTGCCAAACACACTGCTCCTCCCCACGGATACAGCCTCTGAGGACACAGCGCTTCCCGCCCCTCATCCAGACACCCCTCTCTTCTGTACCCCCACTCTGCCCCTTCTGATGAGGACCCAGGGCATCCCCACTCTCTCCCCCCATGCCTGCTTCCAGCTCTTATTCTCTCTAGGGTTCACCCCCACTTGTGACTTTGGGTAAGACGCTATTTCGCATGAGCACACTCTCTGGGTCTCCCTAGAAAACTCTAAATTCTCTGCAGTCAGGAGAGACTAGTGGTGAGTTTACCGCTTTAGGCAGCAGAGAGACTTTCTGATGGAAGCATTCTTTTGTGGTAGGATATTTTTAATCGAGGATACTTGTTTTGGAGCTTTGGGGCTGGAGGCATTTTAGGGGACTGGGTGGGTGTTTCAGAGCTACAGGATAGATACTTCTGCTTTGGAGGCACAG